GGCCTGGCTCAGCCACCAGCCCTTCCGGGGGGAGAAGTGGAGCTCTGGGCAGTCTGCTGGGGCTCACGAGGCCCCTCTGCTCTGCCAGAGCTCATAGGCCCTTCTGTGCTCTGTAGATGCTGGCCCTCACCTCAGAGGAGGCTGATCTATTGACTTATGTCAGTCTGTGCAGGTTAGAGCTTCGAGGGCCCCTGTACTGAGTGATGGGGAGTTGGGGCTGGCTCCATGGGTCCCGCTCCGGCTTGCAGCAGAACTCTTACCACACAGTCAGCGTTCTGAGTCAGCCTCTTGAGCGTCAGCAGGGAGTTGTATGGCTGGACCACCACATCGCTCATCTCATCCTGGTTGGGGAAGACCGAGTAGGTCTGCACCAACTTCTTGGGATACCTGAGTGAGGAGAGCGCCCAGACACCTAACTGGTTAATGTCCCAGAGCCACCGCCTAAGCGCTTCCCTCCCACGAGCTCCCCGGCAGTCTCCAGCGTGCCGGGCGGCAGTGAGTCACTGCGCGGCATGCCAAAGTCTGCTCCCAGGGAGGAGAGGAATTTGTCCCAGCAATGCTGCATCTTACAGCACAGGAGGAGGCTGCCAGACAAAGCCACGGGCGAGGCTGAGCCATCCACCGGCTGATTAAGCAGCTGCTCACAAGCCTTTTCTCGAGGCTGCGTGCTGGGACAGGCAGGGGCGGCTGCGCAGGGACCTTGGCTGCAGCCTCCTGCCTTGCCCAGCGTGGGCAGAGCTCCAGGAGGCAGCCATCCGATCAGAGCGGCTTGAGAGGCGACGGGGAGGCTGCAGAGCAGGGGTCCAATTCCAGAGCCTCCCCTGGACACAGCAGGAGCCGGCCCATCCCCTGGGCGGCCTGCCAGGGATTGCACAAGACAGTGTTTGGGTGGGGTGGAGGCGGGGGCCCCGGCTCTGAGTCAGCGCTCTCCAGCTTCATGCTTTGGCAGGACGCCCAGGCAGGGCCAGCCTCCCCCAGCAGGGGACTCACCTGTCATTCAGTCGCTCCAGCAGATAGGAGCCCAGCCCCGAGCCTGTTCCACCAGCAATGGAGTGGCACAGCACAAAGCCCTGGAACCAAAGGGAAGGCAGCTTAGGGGGGGCTTACCCTCACAGGCCGAACGGGGCTAGCCACGCCACCGGCTAATGCCAGAGCCTAGGCCAGGACAGATGGTGGCTGCCTCCCTCTGGATCGGGGCCAAGAACCGCTGGTGCGATCAGGCAGTCACCAAACACCCATGAGGCACAGAGAGCTGCAAACCAATCGCAGCGCTCCTGTCGGAACTGCAGGAACTCACTTCTCTGTACCCACTGAGAACAGCCCCCGGAGCCGGAGTTCAGAGCTTCCCAGGAGACAGGCAGACGCTGGAAGGGGCTACCCCCCCCCCCGCCTATTCAGTTAAACAAAACGAGCTCAAGCCCCTCCCCCACCTGCCCTAGCCATCCTCCCACCTGCTCCTTAGGCCTCTTGCCAACTGTTATTTCCCAATCGCCTTTTCCCCTCCCCTGTTGCCATGCAACAGCCAGATGTAAACAGCAGGGGGCTCTCTCTGCTGGGGTAAAGGTGAAGCTGACCACAGCCCAGGTGGGATCTGAGGCCCAGAGTCAACCCGCTCAAAGACCGAGATTCCCTCCTGCCCCAGGAATCTCAAGTGTCACTGGGAGCAACAGAAGGTTCAAAGAGTCGGGCGTCCACCTCCTCTCTGACTTGCTGAATCCCTTTGAAACCAGCTGCATGGGCTCTTCACGCAACAGCCTCCGCTGGCCCAAGCCCTCTTGAAAATAGCTGCATGCTGCCCCCCCATGGCACCAAACTGAACACCCTTCAGACTGCAAGGCCCGGACAGAGCAGGCAGATGCCACTTCAGCAGAGCTTCTCCTAACTGGAGCAGGAGAGTCATTGGAGGCCAACCTGGAAAGACGGTTGCCAAGAGGTGCAGACAGCACAGGTATGGGGCTAGCATGTTCTCCTTTCGGAAGTGGAGAGAGAAATTGTTCAGGCTGATACTAGGGGAGACAAGCAGGAGGAGTGGGATGAAATGACAAGAAGGTAAATGGAGGCCAAATATCACAAGCCCTTCCTAGTGGTGAGCTCTGGTAAGTGCTGACCATCTCCCCTGAGAAGAGTCCAACGCTGGAGTTCTTTTTAACTGGATTTGGAAAACGCTCAGTAGGGCACACAGTAGGGGCGACTCCTGCTTGCCTCAGGAGGGCTGGGGTCGAGGGGAAGGTCAAGAGGACGTGGCAGAGATGGGAAAGGCCTCCTGTCTAGGATTAACCCTTTCCACATGCTTGTTGCCTAGCACCCTGACCCCCAGAGATCGTCACAACTGCCAGGCTTCCCTAGAGACTTCAACTCCATGCAAGCAACACAGCAGAGACCTTAGAATGGGCTCCCGCTCGGAAAAAAGCAGTCTGGCTCAGAAAACAACAGGCAAGGGAAGCCAATCTGAGGCCTCCGCATTTCTTTACCTCTAAGCTGTCGCTCCCATCAGCCTCTCTGTCTATGATGTCAAAGATATCTTCGTGGATTTTTTCCCCCTGCAAGATAAAACCAAAGCAAGCTTCGGTCCACGTACTTTCCCCAGAGGAGCTGCTTCCCAGGCATAATGCAAAGCCACGTCAGCTGGGAGACGAGGCTTCCAGCCAGACCAGCAGATCCTGCTGGTGGCGAGCGGTCACCAGCGAGTCCCTGCCGAAAGGTGCGGCGCTTGCTCCAGCAATCACATGCCAGCGCCTGCTGGGAGGCAAGGCGTCCCTGACAAAATCTCAAGCCCAGGGCTCTGAACTATGGTTGCACATGCCAACTCCAGCCCTGTTACCTGTGAGAAGCCGCTGGCCCAGTTGTTCCCAGCCCCGCCGCCATGCTCGGACAGGTAGATGTTTTCCGGGTTGTACAGGTTGGCGTAGGGGGAGTTCAGAATGGAATGGATCACTCGAGGCTCGAGATCCAGCAGCACAGCTCGGGGGATGTAATGTTCATCATCTGCCTGTAACAGGGAAGGACAAGAGGGCCTAGAAACATGCCAGGGGCACAATTCCCGATTGTAAAAGAGAGAGCGTGACAGAGGATGCCCCCCACTGGTCGGAGAGAGGTATAACACACCTCTACTGGATCCTGGCACAATGGACGAGATAAAGAAACGATTATGTATTGTCTGTATTACGGGAGCACCTGGCCCGCAGCACGCTGGGGGTCAGACCTCACAGAACAAAGAGATGAGCCCTGACCCAAACAGCTCACAACTGGAGAAATTATGTAACAAATATGAACTGCTTCTTGAGTCCCCAGCACTCTACACCCACCACGGCACACCAGGCTCCAGGCCATGACAACATGCTGTTAAGCAGTAGATCTCGGCAGAGATGCCACTGAAGGAGATGAGCTGGGGCTGGACTGAGGTCGCCAGCCCCTTTCACAAACTGAATGTGGGTTGCTGGCTAGAAAGAGAGAGGGGGTGGCCAGAAACTCCCCAGTGTGAACTCAGCAAGAGGAGTAGCTAGAGGGGGGGTTTGTTCTCAACAGAGGCGATAGGCTCCACCAATAGAGAAGGATCCAGACTTAGGGATGGATTTTGTGAATTGAAATAACAACTGGGTCTTTCTACTGCTGACCCCAAAAGCCACTCTGGGCTCCAGCCACAGAGAACAGAGAGGAAATGTGAACCAGAAACTCTCGACTAAGGTCCCACCTTGGCTCTGGGAGGCTTTTAGAGATACCAGCATTATGTCAGCGGGCCGGCTGGAGTGCCGGACCTCCAGGGCTTTGTCCCTGTGGAGGAGGGATGCCTTCTGTTTGTCCAGGGGAAGGGCGCCCGGCCCAGCCTGGGCTGGATCTGAGCGATGGGCTCTGGCCCTGGGAAGGGGCAGAGCTGGCGCCCGCCGTACCTGGTAGAAGAAGACGTCTTTGCGATCGGTGCCCTCGGTGGCGAACTCCTCGACGATGCCTTCGGGGCTGATGCCATGTTCGGCACACAGCTGCTTCCAGAACTCGAACCCGACTGCAAGAGAGACCAGCTGGGGCTGGGGTGGGCTGGAGGGGAGAGACCCCCCGCTGCCCCCAGTGCCCCCCTGCTGCCCCCCCCCGGCGGGCTGGAGGGGAGAGACCCCCCCCCGCTGCCCCCCAGCCTCCCCCTGCTGCCCCCACCCCAGCCGGGGCTCGGGCGGGCT